TGTAGTTGTATGTATGCTATGTATGTATGTATGTATGTATGTATGTTATGTATGTTATGTATGTATGTATCGTAACCCTCATCGACCGGCCAAACCGCCAAGCGATTCTGGATGCAATTTTCAGAGGGCGATTTCTATACCGGGGAGTGTTCCTAGACGAAACAAAATCCGTTCAACCGTCAAACTTCACGAAAAATCCGTCAAAATCCCTGAATTCGTGAAACTTTCAGACAATGTCAGACTCACTGTACAGCTGCTGCCACACACAGAAAAATCGATCAGTATTTATTTCCGCCTCACCTCATCAGCAAACCGAAGTATGTGAACCCGAAACCAATACTAAAACAGAGCACAACAGGCACCAGCTTCAGACGGTACTTATATCACTGAGCTTGAGACTGGGTTGAGGTTGAGATGCCTACGATCTCAGAATGCATTGCTACCATTCGAAAGCTATGCATTCTTCTGATTCGCTAGAAATATTTCTTAATTTCAATCGTGCATTTGGCTTGCGCAACCAAGCATTCACTAGGACAATATCAGCTGGACACAGACTCACTCGCTGGCCTGTCTCTATCTATACTTATATTATGGAATTTCTTTTATTATGGTACGATCTGCACAATTGATAGCTGTTTACGTGGGAGCTGCAAGACGATGGCGACGCCAGGAATCTCTACATATTTGCACCAGAGAATAAAAGTACGAAAAACGATTGTTTATCAAGAGTCTTTGAAACTTGAAAAGTGCAACCCATTCGTACATGGCTGTTATTATAACTTTTTGTCATTTTACACCATATTACTTATTATGTCCAGGGCGGTTCTAAGGTTGGGTTGCTGCTTTCATATAAATGTCATACGTAACAGTTTTTTTCCATTGCCTTATTATCTTATCTACACCCGATTTGTAAATATTGATATTGTGTGCAAAAAGTTTATTGTCGATTTTTACCAATGTTTCCTATTGCTGTCATTATTAGTAGTATGACATTGTATAGCACGATTTTACCAGGAGCGGGTTACCCGCAGCTAGTATATTTATAAAATTGTTCGGATTTTTATTGCATCATGATTTGGTCAAAACATTCACGCTGACACCGCCGTTGTTGTTTTATAATGCGGCCCAAACCGTTGTCTAAAAAGCGCGCAAAAAAGTTATATTGCACGCTCGCGATTATGTTAAACATTACATAATTAGCATCAACTGAAATTTTCGAGGGAGTTAGATTTACTATTGCATTTTCTAAACTATTTATCTAGACTGTTATATCTAGACTTACGTTAAATTGTTAAGTGTGCTGTCGCCATTTAATCAACTGTAAATGTGTTTGTTTTTGACTTTCGGCGACTGAATAAATTTTCGAGCATCTAGCCTTACTATTTATTTTCTAGACTATTTATCTAGACTGTTTATCTAGACATACTGCTTAATTGGTGTTGTGTGAAGCAATTACTAAACTGTAATGATAGTTTTGTTTTGACGTTCGGAATTAAATAAATTTTTGTGATCTAGACTTACTATTTACTTTTCAATTAATTGTGTGCCTGCTTCGCAATTTTATAAAACAGATAACGCACTTGGCCTGTTCGTGCGTATCAATGTAAATTGCAGCGCCGAGCGCGAGTATCTTATAGACTGCGTGCGCACTTGCGCACGAGCGCTTGCGAAAGCAACCGATAAATAATAACGCGATGATTAAGCGACCTGTTAAGGCGAGTAAGCGGAGTGGTTTATGCTCATGCGGAAAAGCGGAGCGGTTTGCGCCGGCCCGTGCGTTATCTGTATAATATCTTATACATTTATGTGTCTCTTGCTTGTGCCAGTGTATTGCTTCCGGTCGCCGTTGTGCAGCGCCATGGTAGCGTTGACTCACGTCAGTAATACAGAGATTACTACACATACAGCGTGAGGTGGGCACCCTTGGTGGGCATAGGTGGGGGGGTCAGCACTATGACAATCATACAGACGTCATTATATTTCATTTGTCAATCATGGACGCGAAACACTTGCAGCGTTTCCCGACAGTTATCTCAAAAGCGAGAGACAGTCGCACGTAAACACTGATTCTCGAGTGCGTTTGGCGGCGAAAATACCAGTTTTCCACCGCTCATTATCTCAGCGTAGGGGCTCGTAGTGCCCCCGTCATGCGGTTTGTTTTATATCAATAAGGTAGGACAGCTGATCAATAATACTGCAAAGAATCGTCAAAATAAAACGGGCAAAATTTTTTAATTCTACTAATACTGCAATATTATGGTTTCAGCATTTCACCGTTGTACGCTCTCCTTCTTTATACGCTCTTGATTATATGTATAGTATAAAAATATGTATAGAAATTTTCTAAATGGTATTGTTTGTGATAAACTTGTTAATGGAGATGCTAAAACCCTTTTGGATATCTATAAAGTGTAAAAAAACGGGAATCTGGTATCCCATCTCTTCTCCGTATTGATGGTATTTCCTGTGAGTCCCCTGCATCGAAAGCTTGTTTGTTAAGTGATCATTCCAAGTCGGTTTTCGCTACTTCTTCTGTAATACCTATTCCATGTTTAAACTATAAGTTCCCCATAATGAGCAAAATTGTTTATCTCCCTAAGTGGCGTGTGCTTGGTACTTGAATATATCCCCACATAAGGCTGCCAGGTGATAATGTGCCTGGTTTTATTTTGCATCATTTTGCCCATGAGCCTGGGTCTGTTCTACACAATTTGTTTTGTCAATCTTATGATCTAGATTCTCTTCCTTTCGATTGGAAAAAAGGCTCTCATTACCCCAGTTTATAAAGGTGTGGATTTCCTTGCTTTAAATTATCGCCCAATTATATTTGACTTCTTATTTGCCTTTAAGGCCATTTGAGCACTATAGTCTAATCTCTGTTATGAGCCCATTTCGATAGGCATGATATTACTGTCCAATCATCAAATGAATTTCGCATGGGTTTCTACTGTTTACCCGGTTAATTTAATGTTCTTCATGATCGACATTAAGTCTTGACAATCTCAACAGGAGGTTGATGCAGTATTCTCGATTTTAGTAAGGCATTTGATAGGGTTCCTCGTGATCTCTTAATTTTAAAACTTGGTCACTTTTCTGTTATTCCGTATTGGAATTCTCTTTCTTTGGTAAATTGCAAATTTGCAGCTTTTTTTCATTGCAATCCGCAGTGTTGATCTATCGGTATGATCAACTTGTCTCTCCGTCTTCGTTATAGTCCTTTAGATTTTTGAAGACTACTATTTATTAGGTTATGAGGTTAGTATAATAATTTTTTTGAAATTAGTAGTATAATAACGAGCAGGGAAATCACGTTAGGTTTCCAACGCATATATACGTAAACTTGTGGCGCCACCTGTGACAAGGCAATGATTACGTTTTCCTAAATCATGTGCATATATATTGCAGAAACTGTAGTTGTTATTCCTGTTCTGTTGTGTTTCGGGTCTTGTCTTTTCCTGGTACAAAGGTAATTAATAAGAGATGATGAACAATCTTGTTTATTGAAATGAACAACAAGCATAACTACACTGATGCGAATACAATAATACAGTAGCGAGACATTATTTGGTGTTAATGATAACACTGATTAAATTTTACTTAGATTCTACAGCTAGATAATAAATAATTTTTTTAAACTACAACAATGGTCATAATAACAGATTTGTATTAAATGCCCCTCAATAAAAAAATTAAGTTTTTATTCAGATGTAAAAAATAACAAAGTTCCCCTTGCCTTCTGAAGAACAATTAAGTCTTCTTGGAATGGCGTGTATAAGCCTCTCTATTAGCACATTCAGACAAGCTTACTTTTGACAGCAATGTTTCCCAAAGCATTAAACATGAAACAATAAATCTAATTGATTTCCATAAAAATTCGACTCAACGTCCGACTTTATCCACGTAAAAGTTAAATCGAAACGTGTAATCGCTTGACCTTTTTTTATCATCATTGTGGCAGATTCAGACGGCTGCTCGAGTAAAATCTCTTCGACCAAGTTTCGCTATAATCTACCCACGCTACCAGCACTGGGAAATTTAGATCATATAAGTTAACAGCACATAGAATGAATGCTAAGAAGGAAAGATGCACCGTTCTGTGCTCAGCACGATCTCACGTGTGCGCCGGGCATTTTACACGCGCGCTATCGCAGAATGCGCTGCGAGTCATCCCAACATGCATTGCGCGCTACGATAACAACAGCCATTTCGAAGGGTTTGTACCATAGACATCATAATATAACACCATGTTATATAACAATATAACAATTGTTATATGATATCTATGGTTCGTACTCTTAATATTTTACTTGCTTTTAAATAGTAGTTTTTAGTGAATCCTTTTATATGTGTTTATAGGCCACCCTAAGGGTGATCACCTAACCAGTGGCGTAGCCAGGATTTTTTAACAGGGGGGGGGGCAAACAGCAAAAACTGCGCAAAATAGCTGGATGACTTAAAATCTTACATGTCCTCGCGCTCCCTCTCAGCATCCTACGCTCTCCCCACCTCGCGCTTTGCAATCTTTTTAGGGTGCCATGTTACATAAAAGGCGACATTTTTTCGTTGCTTCTCTGCCTACCAGATATATAAGGAGGGGGGAGGGACGGGCGGTACATTCCCAGTTTACCACAGCAAAAAAATACTCCATATCCAGCTCCTCAGTAAAAATAAAATCCGCAATTCCAGATCCAGGAAATTATTGCATAGACATTTTCAGGAACATTCAGTTAGTTTAGGTTTTCAACACTAATACAATACTAATATTTTACATGCTATTATTTATCTGCGGCCATAATTAATAACAAAAAATAATAAAAAGTAAATTAAATTAAATATTTTTAGCGGAATATAGCAGTAGATGTATTTTTTAGCGCACCTTTTGAGTACGATGTTACAGCTTCATTCTGACTACGACAATTCTCTTTTTAGTAGAACAATTATTTTTTTTATTATTTTTACTTTAGGATCAACAGGGGGAACATGGCCCTCTTTGCCCCCCCCCCCCTCCATAACTACGCCACTTTTGCCAACCTAAACAGTGCTGGTAATTTTTGGGCCAATCTTAAACAATATAAACGGCGCTATTACAGGCAACGAGACCTCGTGCGCTGCGTTCGTTGCGCAGCACCGTGTGTGCCAATTCTGTCATTTACAGAATTAACATACAAACACTATGATCCTTTCCATTATGAAGTCCTGTTGTTAGCATCTACGATAGCCGATCAGTTTGATGTGACACAGCCGTCTATCAGCATGGACTGAAATCCACCCATTCCCCTGATGTAATGACGTCATCGGTTCCGCAGAGATCCACACTGTAAAACAACGTGACTTTTTGTGAATTGTAATTTATTATTACATATATATAGATGTGTTATATAGATTACATACATATTATTAATAAAATTTATCATTGATACCATATTGATAAAATTGGTTCGTAAATCAAATAATATCGAGAATAAAGAACAGTTCGTTACGAAGGTAATAGATCCTCAACGCTTTGTACCTTCTTTGCGTTTCTCCAGTGAACACCGTTAGTTTTCCTATGCGGATGTGAGGGTTATTGAAGATAGGCCATTGCCATGGTTTATACCAGTCATAGTCAAAATCCCAGTTGAATCGGAATTTGTTTACAATGCCTATATGTTCCGGATGACTTGCAATGGCACTCGCAGTTGCTTGCGGCTTGAGTGACTGGTTCCTAGAAACACGTTACCAGAATTAATTATACATTCCCTCGCCGGCAGTTCAAATATCGTCAACATGACAAACGCGCAGTATAACATATTGACTTCGATTGAAATGAAACCAAACACATATTAACAAAGTCGATAAGATTACTTACTCTCCAACTTGTAATACTTCAGAGGTACCGTGACTTCCCATGAACACGCCTTCAAAGCGGCCTCTTTCCTCGCTCTCAAACCTTCCAAAGGAAACTTGTAATTTTTCGTGGAATACTAAAACAGTATTGAAACAGTATGTTATATACGCATGTGCTTGCCGTGATTTTTTGAATCGCAAAAACTAATTTCGCATTTCGACCAAGCTTGCTGAATAATTCCGGCTCCTAGTCACCTCATAACAGGCCGTTTATAGTTATAATAGCCAATGATATTAACATGAGAATACTAACTTTACTTCAGAGATGAGTGTGTTTTTCATATTTTCCTGAAAATTTAAACTGTCGGCGGACATCGTGTTATTATCGTGTTATCGGCACTCTGTATAAACTTGAATGGCAAAGCAATTACTCTGAAGCTTAAATAGCCATCATTTCAGCAACAATAACCATTGTTATATACTTAAGCAGCATAACTGGTTATCAAAAAGTCCCACACGGCGCTGCGCATTTTGAGAAGCGAAATCGGCTGAATACTTATGGAAAGCTCAGATCAAACGGACGATGGTATCATCCATGATTACTATTATTATTATTATTATTATTATTATTATTATTATTATTATTNCCATATCCCACAATATTATTATTATTATTACTAATAATAATAATAATATCAGGAGTGTATAATATAGACTCTATATAATATGTGCTCTGTATTATACACTCTTGGTAATATATAAAAGACATTATCTATATTATATTATTGAAAGTTGTTTTCTCGGTGAGTTTCTCACCCCCGAACGGAGCAGCGGCGGCTGTTTGTGAGTAGAACCGGATTCCCGTTCTACCGTTCAAGTTGGCGGCGTACAGGTCGGCGTGCAAGCCCAGCGTCGCACAGCCACCGTTCTCACATGCGATGCA